ACATTACCGTGGTGCGTTAGCTTCTCAGAACAGTTCCACTGCTCCTCCGTCCAGAGAAACTGCTACTACAAAAATAAACAAGCCATTTGAGTCAACGGTAAGCCATTTCACCACTACTTTGCCGATTTTTAGAAAACCTTCGAAAGGATATAATAGAAGTTGCTTGGAACGGCCATCAGTAAGTACAATTTTTTACCCTGTGGAATCGCTGTACGAGAATTCACAGAGCATAGCTAAAATATTGGAACTCCCAGCGAGAGTTTTAAGTAACTGTTTACGTACGACAGAGATATCTGTTTTCACCAGTATTGTCCAGTGTCTTCCTAGAGGAAATTATGGCGATTGCTTTAAACGGGCTTAGAGGAACAGCAGTCTGCGATGTGCTACTTTTTGTTGAGAAGCATTATCATTGACATCACATGCATGTATTTTGCTGGAGTCACAACGAGTTAACCTACGAACGTGTCTTTATTTGATCCAACTCAGAGATGCTGTATTGCACCCACGGACTGGCGGTGCTCAAGTATCATGGATCTTTGATCTCCTTAAGTGGTCCCACTGTGCGACTCGAAATAAAGGACAATTCATTATAATACAGTGAATTGACTCATCGTCATTCGATGCATCAGTATTAATGTAAATAGACGGTTGTTGGGACCCATAAACTTTAAAATGTAATGAACATTTTACCGTCGCCCGCGAGCTTATTGTTTGAGAATCGACAATGTAGAGATATTGCTAGTCGAAAATATCGTGCTGATGCAAACGGTTGAGCAATCATGATTCATTCATTCATGTTTACTCAAGTGTACCATGATGACCACAGGTAACCGTCCCATACAAGAACAGAAAATTATTTTAAAATGTTAGTCAACGTAAAACACTTCATAGCGGAGACAAGGCGATGGTGATTTAGCCAGACGCAGTCAGGACATCTTCCACAGCTGGTGTTCTTTGCTGAAATCAGTTAAGCATCTAGTTGTAAAAGGGTTAATCGATTTCCTTTAAGCCTATGTGACATTTTCATGGCACATCACAAAGAGAGAGTCTAGTTGTATTGCGTCAAATAAACTACCTGAAGTTATCTGCGTTAGTGCTGCCCAAAACCAAGCTGTTGACAGGAAGACGGCGAACTTGACCATGTTAAAAGTAATCAAAAGTCGATTTTCCTTGAATATTCGTTTTCTGCGATGACAGTCAAAAGTTGCTGTCATTTTTGACCGATTAAGGCAGCACCGTCTTTCCTAAAAATAAACGGCACCCGTAGATCGTTTTTATGCGGTTTGCGTTAATCTTTGTGTTAATATTTGCCAATTTAATCCATCCCCATCACGTTCCAGGTGAGTTTTAATTATGCGGCAAGTTTTGGTGTTTAGATGTTGAATGATGTGGAACGTATCATCGCAATCCATTTAGATCTGTCTCGAAATCGTCTTACCGAATTTCCGCTGCAGGTTTGTGAGTACGAATCGCTGGAGACGTTGTACATAAACAATAACTGTTTGAAATCGATTCCTTGCGGTGTGCAGTTCCTCAAATCTCTCACATTTTTGGATCTCCGGTAACGCTTTTCATCTGAATGACTTCAGATGCCACATCTTGTAATGTTTGTGCGTTCACATTCGTGTTTCTAGACGAAATCAGCTGTCAAGCATTCCCGCTGCGTTGTGTTCGTTGCCGCTTGAGGTTCTGCTTCTTGGCAACAACCGCTTGGAGAGCTTACCGAATGAAATTCGCCAGCTTGCTGATACTCTTGCCGACTTGGTAACGTGTTTGCCTGTCTTTCCTGTTACGCTGTACAGGTTGGTTGCGACCGATCAGAGGGTAGGAACGGATGGATTTAAGTTTAGAACGGGTCTTTACGAATTGGATTGAGGACAACCCGGATATTACTGGTCATTAATGTTCTCATTATTTCCTTTCTAACAGCGCCATACTCCTCCAAGACCAGATTTCATTAGCGGACAATATGATGCGTGATGCACCCCTGGTACTGCAGTTGCTCAGTTGTAATGGCGCCGTTAAATGCTTCCGAGAGCTGCTAGAAGCAAAGGCTGGTGGAATACGCCATGAACGGTGTTATCCGGCGCAAGAGCATATGTTTATATTCCTTATCTAGACGTATAATTTTAGTGGTTTCGGTCATATATTGTTGTTTTTAAGATTTTTTTGGCTCTGACTCAGATGATTAGACTGAATGACTAGCTCTTAGACCATACCCATGCAGTTTGCTTGCTTGGAAGTTTAAATCGCAACTTTGAAGTTTCTTAAGGACGATGCAGCAAATGTTCAGGTTTGCGATATCCGCTGTAGATCAAAGATTTTCTTCCACATGAGAAGGATGGTTTCTTAACTGAAGCAAGATTTACTTAATTTGTTATTTACCCTAGGATAATTTCCTCCCAAAGACTAGGAAGGTTTCCTTGTCATCAAAATGAAAACCAGAAAGATTTTCCATAAATGAGTTTTTGAAGTTGTTGTCGGGTGGAGATTCTTGTCTTTCAAATATATAGCCTAGCAGGGAAGAAGTTTATTCTTTTAGATGGTTCAGTGGCTGTCAACATACAAACAGTTAATAGATTAAGGTAAAACACGATTAGAAGTCTGGAATAAATTTATTCTGGGCTTCTGACTGTGTCTTACCTTAATGAAGCCGTACGAAAGCTATGCAACGTGTGCTGTTCTTCATAAGAAAGCAATGTAACACGAACTGAGGCTACTTACAATAAATATCTTCTGCTTTACCGACTCTTTGAGTGTTCAGTTATGGTTAATGCCGCGCACAACAGAATTTCGTTAATGCCGTTTTACATCATAATTCTCTTGTGAGCAGTGTGGATTCCAACGTACAGTTTGGCGAAATGTGTCACTTATGACACAGTTTTCTCATGAATATATAAATATCGCATTTAGGATTTGATTTTGCCATTCTCCATCTGTTTCCCTGGCGGTTGCTATTTTACGCTATCCTTCACTTTTAGGATATCAGCTGCAACAGATTAACGAATCTGCCCGCCGACATCGGCCTTTTGCAGCGGTTGCGGGTATTGAACGTTCGTCAGAATTTGCTCACCTGGTTGCCTTTTGGTAAGTCGTTGGAAGCACCGCTAACGAATTTAGTTGCAACCGTTTTTTCTAAATTATCGACTTCCCTTGTTAGAACTTTCTAAACTTTCCCTGCGTTTTCTTGACGCTTCATACAACAAGCTCACTCATCTCGATATCGACCTGCGGTTTATGCGAAGTCTGGTGGAACTTATTTTGGACGGAAACCCCCTCGTTTTTCCTTTAGCCAAGGTAAGAACACGTGTCGAATAAACTTTTATGCTTTTAGCGTCCAACTTCCGCATATTTTGAATTCATTTCGTGGTAGAATTTGTCAGAGACGATCGTTTTTCCATTCGGCGTCTTCTGCACTTTCGTCGCATATTGTGGTACTGTTACGTAGAAGGCATTAAAAGAAGTAACTTGACCGAGGCTCTTTAATACAATTCTCAGGCCCAAATATTTTGAGTCTTTTTGCTGAAAAATAGAGTCCAGTTTTAGGACAAGCACATCAGCATGCCTCAACCCGTATATCAGCAAAATTGTGATTAGATGACAGAAACACTATTGTAAAACGTACCATGTTTCACACATAGAAGCCATTAAACCGTCGACACTAAGGTAGTTAAGAAATGACTGCTTTGCTCTGTGCAAGAGTAAGTTCTGACAAATGTCGAACGGGCGAGGTTGCGGTGTGAAGTTTTCACATTCCAATAAGTTGCAAGGGATGTTAGTCTGTAAAGTGATTAGAGGCGATCTATGCACTGTGAGCATTAAAATATCGTTGAACTGTTGCCTGCTTAAATGTAGAGAATGAATGGATATTATGAATCGATCATATGGCTTGATCGTTCGATATAAACTATGATGACGGTAATAGAAATTATACAATTTTCAGTTTCTTCTGACTTAATGTTCTTTATGCAGTAGAGTCGTTTTAAGGCAATTTAGATCAACTTGGAATCCTGGTTTTGGAGGGTGTGATAGAGGGATATGTATAAAGAAAGTTTAAACAACGCTACTGTAAAAAATTATGCCACTGTCTTGTGTAATGCTGGGGGAACTTCAAGGCGATAAAATCTAATTGTAAAAGAATGGATTGTCTTGTTCTTGCTGCATTGAACAAGCAAGATCTCATCAGTTATGCGGTAGAAATGCAAACACCGAAAACTTTTAAGCGGTGAAACACTACCGTCCGTTAGCTGAGTCGAAATATGGTGTATTGTAGAATGTCGTCGTTGAAAGCCATAATGAGTTTGACCATTTTGTTTATGATGCCGTTTTGTGTATTTCAGTTTCATCTATCTGTAGAAACAGGTGATCAGTGCAGAAAGTATTTTCGTTAAATACTAGAATCTGATTGGTTTAGTCAGAATTGAAAAGAATATTTTCAGTAGAAAAACTGTTACTTTGCGAGCTTCCTACAGAGGTGATGTCACTAACAAGTTTCACATAAAGTTCAGAAGTGTTTATTTACATATTAGATAGTAGAGAAACACTGTTGATTTAGAAACAACGCATAGACGGTAAGGAAGGAATAAGGATTTAGTTCCGCTTACCTTAAAAATTTGACAAAAAGATTCGCTGTTTTAAGATGAATAATATGAATTTTAACGGGAAATCGTCGTGCGTGGTGAAACGATTATTTTGAAAAACGGAGTTGAACGAGTTAGAATAGAAAATAACTAGACTTAATGAGGCTTACTCGTTTGCTAGCGTGTTGGAATAGGAGTTTTGAAGTTTACAGTGGCATTAATGGATCCTAATCTTGATCTGTAATCGAAATTTTCAGTGTGAATTGTCAGCAACCATTTCAACATTTTGTGAGAGCAAATTTTATTGCACTGTTTTTGCACATTGCAGAGCATCCTTTTTCTCTGTGATGAAGTTCGGCAATTTTCAGCAATGATTCAATAATCCAGAAATGGATCAAAGCTATTTCCAGTCTTGTGTCCTACTTCGTTGTCATAATATCACAGGTCAAGTAACTAAACGAAACAACTGATGTTAACTGTTCGCTGTTCACAGATGTACAATATTTATAGCCTATGAGAAATGTTATACTGCTGGAATGTACACTATGATTTATTGCCTCGGTAGATACGTACCAAAGAATTTCTCTTTTCAGGAAAATAGCAGAAATTAATATGGGTATATATCATTGGGGTCCTTAAGCCGAACACAATCGATTTGGTGTGTCCTTATCCGTTTAGTGCAAGCCACAAAATTCGTCCTTAGAATTTGTGCTGCGTCAGCTTTGTAACAAGGCAGAATGACACCGACAGCAAAACTTCTCAGAAAGAATTTCAGAGAAGCTATTTCTAATAACATGATCGCTACTGTTATCATTAACACCATATATAAAAGTAAGAACTTGTCCTTTTGTACCATCATTTTCTGTTGTTTCTTCGGAAGAAGCAGCATACGTTAGCTTCGCTTTTTCCTGTTCACGAACCCAACTCCATTCAGATTATCAGATTTCAGCTGATTCTATCTGACCATTGTCTTACAAATATAGTGTGCGTAAACAAGAAAACACGCATATCGCGGAACTTGTAAAAGGAGATCCGTGAGTGACATCTGCTTTCAGGATTTTGATTTTAGTTTCCTGTTATCTCTTCTAATTTTATAATTGCAACACTTCTTGAAACTCGCATGTGCACAGGCAGTGCACTTGCACACTGATGAATCACAGCTGCTGCTCTGTAGCCAAGTCCGATTTTGGGATTTGAAGCTGTCAGTCTCATTTGTCGTCAGATCATTCGCAGTGCAGAATTTTACTGTTTTGGTTGAGAGAGAGGGCGTCCTTAGCGTTTTAGTCTTCTCAGGACTCACTTATTCGTGGGATTTCGACAGCGCGTGTGCAAGACTAGCGACAGTGTTGATTAGTCGAAAAAAGTCGACTTGGTTGAAAGTCGAAAAAGGCGAACTTCTTGTCATGCAAGTTTTTTCTTTAGAATTGTAATAGAGGAAAAGTTCACGTGTTTCGTGCGCTGGAGATCGAAGCTTCAAAAGCCGCCAAACGACGCGTTACGTCCGTCGATCGTGAAACTTCTCATCATCGTAAAAACTACGCGTCAAGTCTTGTTCCATCGTAATATATAACTGTTCTTTCTGTTATATTGTTGATGCTCCTGTGAATAATTTCGGTTTCAGCAGTTCAGAGGATTCGAGATACTTCCATGGTTCCGTCGATCGTCGAAAGACGCGTCATCGCACGGTGGCTACTGATTCTGCATTCCCGTTGTTTCTT